AAAGAAAAACTATATATAGTGTCTCTCTGGCGTCTAATCCTCTGTTTTTTTCGACAGAAGGGAGACATCAAGGTTTTATGTTGGGTGAAAGGGAGCAGAGTTTAGCTTCTTCCTGGAACATAACAAATGGCTGTGTACCAGGGTGGAGCCGGCTGGCAGCGCAGGGCTGGCTGTAGAAAGAAGAGGCAAGGGAGGGGGAGGAGCAAAGCTGGAGATGAGGCCATGACGCAGCAGCCTGCAGGTGATTAGCCCAACGCACAAACCAGGTGAGACAAAGGCAGGATTGGTGTTGGGAAGGAAAATGGCAATAAGACAAATGACCAAGAGTGGTCCTCTAGAAAACCCTCCACTTTTCTTCCCAGGACTCGGTGTCATAGTAATGCCATAGGAAGTCTGTACAGTGCTTTCTTTATGAAGCATTTTCACACTGTATGATTGCATTCCCATGGTAATCCCATAAGGCAGGTTGAGATAAGAACTACTCCCATTTTTAGATGAGAAAATAGACATGCTAAATGTGCTTGCCAAAGGTCATAGCACTGGTAAGTAATAAAGAGAAGGATAAAAAGTCCTGGCTTTCTGACATTTAATCCACTGCTTTTCCCATTCACTCCATTGTAGGGTTTATTCACCTTAGGTTAACTCAGTTGCACCTGCACATAGTCACACACACACACACACACCCCCACCCCTAACACTACCAGCAGCCAAATAGAAGGAAACATAGAGGAGTGGCCAAAACTTTTTTCTTATGGCGATATTTATAATACTCTCTGTCCTCTATAGAGATGTAATTGATTACTGCTCAGAAATTATTCTTAGCACTTCATTAAAAAAGCCAAAATTAATTAGACATCAGCAAAAGAAACCTTCGTTTAATTGGCTGTTTTCTGTCCTCCACTTTTGGAGACCAAAAAATGCCCCAAAAAACAAGTTGATAAAAAAGATTTTTTTTGGCCGGGTGTGGTGGCTCACGCCTGTAATCCCAGCACTCTGAGAGGCGGAGGTGGGCAGATCACCTGAGGTTGGGAGTTCAAGATCAGCCTGACCAACATGGAGAAACCCCATCTCTACTAAAAATGCAAAGTTAGCCAGGCAAGGTGGTGCATGCCTATAGTCCCAGCTACTCGGGAGGCTGAGGCAGGAGAATTGCTTGAACCCAGGAGGCAGAGGTTGCAGTAAGCCGAGATCATGCCATTGCACTCCAGTCTGGGCAACAAGAATGAGACTCCGCCTCAAAAAAACAGAAAAAAAAAGGATTTTGTTTTTGATAGTGTCTCTCTCTGCTGCCCATGCTGAAACGCGGTGACACGATTATGGCTCACTGCATTCTCGACCTCCCAGGCTGAAGCAATCCTCCTGCTTCAACTTCCCAAGTAGCTGGGACTGCAGCCACCATGCCTTGCTAAGTTTTGTATATGTATATGTATATGATGTATATGTATATATGTTGCCCAGGCTGGTCTTGAACTCCTGGACTCAAGCAATCATCCTGCCTCAGCCTCCGAAAGAGCTGGGATTACAGGCAAGAGCCACTGCACCTGGTTAACATTTTATTAAGGTCATGACCCAAGATTGCTCAGCTCAAGTTCCAAAGCTACAGCCCTAGTCCTCTACTGCATGAGCAAAAAGCGTGCATCCTGTTTGCTCTGCTTCCTAAAACAGAAAAGATATATGTAGTTAAGGCAAAACTGCATCAAGAATTAAAACCCAAAAGGGGGTTTTGGTTACCATAAAATTAAAAGAATAGTGCTCCCCATTTCCCAAGTGTTCCAGGTAACCAAAGCTTATCTCTACAGGACTTTAGGAGGCTTGTAAAATACTTAGTAGAACAAAATACAATAATTGCTTGTTAAAGGAAAGCACCTACCAGCTTTAAATGAATTTTTAGGGTATAGCCCCATTCTTTATCCCGATTCCAGATCAAATTCCTCTACCAGAAGTACTGTGACAATTGAAATTGAATGTTTCTTTCCCCACTTCTGGTCCTGACCATGCTTATTTCTGACAAGACTTCGTCAACAGCTGTACTTCTTAATGAGGACTGCTCTGGGCAGCCATGTGTGATGTAGGTCCGGGAAGGAGGGGGATTCAGGCAAACTGGAGACAAATCCCAGACTTATGAGGTGCCTAGCGAGTGTCTAGCAGATGCAGGGCAGAGCCATGTGAGGCTCAGGAGGGTGTAAGGAAGCTGTTTTGACCCAAATCAAGAAGAGAAGACTGGAGCCCAGACAACAGGGTCTTGGTCCTCATGGAAGAAAGGAACTGAGATGTGACATTGGACCTTGGAGCAGAGGCCACAGGCCCTGCTCTGCCCTTGAGGAGCTGCCACTGGACTATCAAGGCGATAAGTGCCATGCACAAGAACAAGAACTAAGGGGGTCCAAGAGAGATGGTAAGTGGGTCTGATCATGTAGTTCAGGCAAGGTTTCATGCAGAAGGTGACACTTGAGAGGAGACTTGAAGGATTTTTCTAGAAGGAGGAGGGTAGGGGCCACTAGGTTGAAGGAACAGCTTGAGCAAAATTAAGGAGGTTGCAGTGGGTGAAATGGTGGTCCCCAAAAGATATGCCCACATCCTAAGCCCTAAAAGCTGTGAATGTGGCCTTGTCTGGATAAGGGATCTTTGCAATCTGGGTGGGCCCTAAGTCCAATGACACATAGAGAAAGATGCCACACAGAGGAGAGACATACAGAGGAAAGGAGAAGGCCACGTGCAGGAGGCGGCAGGGATTGGAGTGATGCAGCCCCAGCCAAGGTGCACCTGGAGTCAGCAGAGCCTGAAGGAGGCATAGAAGGACCCCCCCTGGAGCCTCTAAAGGAAGCATGGCCCTGCCAATGCCTTGATTTTGAATGTCTGGCCTCCAGAACTGTAGGAATAAATGTCTGCTGTTTCAGCCGTCCAAGTGTCTAGTCATTTGCTGCAGCAGTCACAAGAAAGTAATAGACAGCTATGAAAGGAACCCTAGTCCTGGACCTGTTTGCCCCGAGAGCCACTCCTCATCCATTTCCTGCTCAACTGTCTATGGCAGGAGCTGACCCCTGCAGGCTGTGTTTCCCCAGCTGCCCCAGATCCCAGGGGGCTCAGCCAAGGAGACACTGACAAGAGCCTGAGGGTGGGAGGAAGAGAGCAGCCAGGGACCTTCCTCCCTCCTCTCTCAGCCTTGAGTGGCATCTCCAGTCAGTGTCCATCTCCTCCACAGCTCCAGCTCCCACCACATAGGATCACTGTGATTCCCGGGGCCCCTGAATGACCCCAGCCTCTCGCTCGAGGCGAAAGTCATGATCGCTTCTGGGATAATGACTCCAGAGTGACTAGAGCACAGAGCGGATGCAGGGAGGGAAAGCAGCAATTTTTCCAGACTAGGGGCGCAGGGGGCAATGGTTTCTGGATGAAACTGCTCCACCTCAGATCATCAGACATTATACTCTCATAAGGAGCATGCACCCTAGATCCCTCGCATGCGCAGTTCACAAAAGGATTCACACTCCTATGAGAATCTAATGCGGTGGGTGAGCTGATCTGGAGGAGACAGAGCTCAGGCAGTAAGGTTCGCTCACCTGCCACTCACTTCCTGCTGCTCCTAACAGGCCACAGACCATAGACTGGTACCGATACATGGCCCGGGGGTTGGGGACCCCTGGGCTACTCCACAAACACTGAAATGACATTGGCACAAACAGAAGGGTCTGGGGGCTCCTCTCTGAGGGCAAGCATCAGCAGAAGCTGCAAGCTGTCATCCCTGACTTGACATCCACTTGTACCCAGCTGGTCGTCATGAAGGTGCCAGATATTTCTTGGTAGCAGATTGTATTCGTTTCCTGGGATGACCATGACAAAGTATCAGACTGTGTGACTTCAACAACAGAAATATATTTTCTCACCATTCTGAAGGCTGGAAGTCTGAGATCAGCATGTCTACTTCTTCCAAGGTAGGGCTGGTTCCTTCTGAGAACCCTGTCCCTGGCTAGCAGGTGAGCATCTTCTCCCTGTGTCTTCATATGGTCTTTCCCTTTGTGTGTGTCTGGGCCCACATTTCTTCTCCTTATAAGAACATCAGTTACATGGGATTAAGGACCAGCCTAACAAACTCCTTTTACCATAATTACATGTTAAAGGCCCTCTCTGCAAATACAGTCACACTCTGAAGTACTGAGGGCTAGGATTTCACATATGGATTTGGGGGAGCAAAATGCAGCCCCTAGTTGGGACCTAGGTGTCAGTAGCAGACAGAGAGAGTGGAAGATATAGAATGTCCCGTGGGAACTGCACACACCCAGCAGAAGAGGCCAGCGCAGGTGGAAGGAAGGAAATGGAAGGTGCCTTGGAGGAGCTGACCTGACTACTTGGGCAAGTCACTACTGGACTCGCTTCTGAGAGCATGTGAAAAACCCCAAGGACGCCCAGAAAGCTCTAGCTGAGGTGGTGGTGGTGGCCGGGGTGGAAAAGAGTCAGTGAACAAAAGGTTTGCCTTATTAATGAAACTCTGTACCCACAGGTGGATGAAATCAATTAGGGAGAAACCTGTAGATTTTGGAAGGAATTAAGTTCTTCCTACGGCCCGGCCCTCCCCACCACAACACAAACATACACAGGTAGTGTCTGGCCTCCTTTACATGGCATCCCTGCAGAGGTGAAAACAAGAAACCAGGCCATGCAGAGAGTCATTGCAAGTAAAGGGAGACTCAGATAGAGGCTGCGGGAGCCGGCCCGGCTACGTTTGTGTGTTGGCCACATGCAGCCTGTGCAGCCGCTCCAGGACCCTAAGCCTATGTCCAAGGGAGCCATAGACACGTGCTTTTGCTGATGAGCCACAATTTATTAATAGGAGACTCTGTGGGGTGCACCGCAATAAATTGTGATTCGTGAAATTTATAAACTGAGATAGCACTAGCAAGAGGTCCTGTGCATTGTAATTCTCTCGACCTGACAAATGAACTGCTTTGAGCAGCGACAGCTTCAGCCAAGTAAGAGAAATAAATCAGCCGGTGGAACTGTGGTAAGAAAGCAAACAGTTTTATTGGTCTACGGATCTTGAGAAATGTTGATTAAGTCAGATCTGGAACCCCCTCATAGTCGTTTTACAAGTTGCTTTATCCCAGAGACCCCCCAGGCCTCTCCATATTACCACAATCTCCCAGGAAAAACGAGGAGTGAGTTACAGTGTGTTTAGGATAGGAAACAAAAATATATACTTTTGTGGTCCTGGGAAAAGGTGAGTCCGACCATTCATTCGGGGAGGCTTGTGTATTCCCCAGGACTATATTAGAGGAAACTCGTGGAAGCCTTTCCACACCTGATAACCTCTCAGTCTCCAGAGAGCAAAGAATAGAAAATACCTTGAGTTGTGGAAGCCACTGTGTGAAAACAAATTTAGAATAAATGAGACTGATCAGAGATTAGTGTTTGAACTAACAAACTATGGGTTTACTTGGCAAGTTAAGGGTAGAAACATGAATGCAGTGGGCCATGTTGAAACTGTAGACCCTAGAACAAACTGCTTTAAATTGTATTTATGTCTTGAGAGAACCCATTTGCTATCAAATAACTGATTACACTCCAGTCTGTTCATTGAAGGAAGCCCCAAAAGACTCCCTTCCAGAAAGCGGTCTGGTTTCATTTCGTCCTTCCAGAAAGCCAATGGTTACATTTATTTTTAAATGTAGCCTTCAATTTCAAAATGTCATAGTCCAGACTTGTCTTCCTTCAGTTGATACAAACTACCAGGCAGGAACTATTTAATTCAGAAGTTTCTTTGCAAGACCCCAGGAGGAAAGAGGTAGCAACTTCAGAGAAGGGAAGGTTAGGAAAATATTGATTAGCCATCTATGTGCCAGGCAGCATGTTCAGGGCCTCATAACCTTCGAGAAGCTATTATCACCTCATTTTAGACAGGAGACTGAAACTCAGAGATGATCATTAATTTGCCATGGCCACTCAGCTTTGATTGGAAAAGGCAGGGACGGACTGACAACTAAGTTCATGCCCTTTTCAGGGTATCATGTCACCTTTCAAAATTGAGGACCCTAGAATCTTCCAGTTGATCACTCTCTCCATGTCCCCCAGCCTCTTTCTGCCTGCAGATGCAGATTTAACTGGATCCCAGAGACGATCACTACCTCCCTTATTCTTCACCATCTCTATGGAAGGAACCCCCACCTCCTCCCTGGGGCAAGATGCATAGGAAACTGAGTCTGCGCCACCCATGGGGCAAGGCTGCCATGCTTGGACAGAGAGGCCAGGCATTCCGGACAACACCCCCTCCACCTCCTTCCACAAGGAGAGGCTGCGGGGTAGGGTGAGGAGGTGCTAGGGAGTTTCCAGTTTCAGGAGCTGGTTGCCCTAAGATGGAGAAAGACAGGTCACAGCGGTGCTCCAGTGCAGATTTGAACAATTTGTTGCAACCACAGGAAACTTCCGAAATGTCTTTCCCAGCAGCTCTGGCTCCGCCAGGAGCAGGAGCATGTTTGTGTGGCTGCAGGGCACCGGCAGCAGCGCTCTGTGCTCTCCCGGCTCCCTGTGGCAACAGGAGCGAAAACTTCGGGGGGTCAGGCATAGAAACCACGGCAATGAAATCTGACTTCAAAAACACAGATGCCGCGATGTGCACTTCCAGAACACACAATGTCTGGACGGATCACCAACAAGATTCCTGCCACCTGAGGTGGAGGCAGGGCGGGACGCGTGCCTCCGGCCTTGTGGCTTGTGGGGAAAGACCTGTCTCCCTTGCCCCCGCCGCCTCCTTCACTCTCGCTGCTCACGCCTGCATTGTTGCGGAACTCTCAAGTGAGTGTTCTCTAACCACCCCAGTGGCCTCATTCCCAAACACTCCTCCCATCACTTTACCCCCAGCTCTAAAAATTGTTCGCGCTTTCTCTTAGCCTAGAGCCGTGCTTGAAGGAGGATAGAATTTCATGGGGGTCCTGTTAAAATGCAGGTTGTGATTCAGCAGGCCTGGGGTGAGCCCCGGCTTCTATGTGTCTAACAAGCTTTCAAGTCCAAGGATGCCGTTGGTCCCAGGACACATTTTGAATGGCAAAGGATAGTACATATGTCCCAGATTCCTAAGGCTGGTGTTGAAAACTCTGGGCCCCTCCCCCTAGACTACCTTTCTTAACTCCTTGATCTCCCCTTCACCCCTGCAATGCTCCAGGCAGAGTCACCTGCCAGCCCACAGGCACACCCACACCCCAACTCGCCCACCGTGGGGGTTCTGTGCCCACCATTTCCCTCAGCAGCAAAGCTAGCTCCCAGCTCTGCTGTTCAAATCTTACCTCCTGCAAGTCCTAGCCTTCCCATAAAGACCATTGTCTTCCTTACAGGAAGAGCTGCATTCCAGAGCCGTGGCATACAAAGAGAACAATCTCTGCTTTCTCAGGAAGTGTCAAACCCAGGCATTGTTTGGGAGAGACAGATCTGGGCCGCCTCCCTAGAGTGGTGGAGCAAGCCCTGAGAGCTGCCTTGGCTGGGACCACAGCTCTCCGGTGGGAAGCCCTGCTGCATGGTGGCCCTTTCGGAAGGGCATTCACTAGTCTGGTAATGCTCAACAGTCTGGACACCAGGGTCCCTCGTGCAGTGCAGTGAATACCTGAGTCTGAGAGAATCTGGCTGATACAGATAGAATTTCCTTTTCCTGCTTCGCCTTGGTGAGGCCAAATACCAGCTAACGAAAAGTGGATTATGTATTCTTTTTCTTTTTGAGATAGGGTGTCACTGTGTCACCCAGGCTGGAGGTGCAGTGGTGCCATCTGGTCTCACTGCAACCTCCGCCTCCCAGGTTCAAGCAATTCTCATGCCTCAGCCTCCTGACCTAGCTGGGATTCTGGGCGCGCATCACCACACCCGGCTAATTTTTGTATTTTCGGTAGAGACGGGGTTTCGCCATGTTGGCCAGACTGGTCTTGAACACCTGACCTCAAGTGATCTGCCCACCTCGGTCTCCCAAAGTGTGGGGATTACAGGCGTGAGCCATTGCACCTGGCCTGTACTTTCTATAAAAATATTTTATGCCATCTGATATTTAACTGGGAAATGACTGCAGAACTCTCAGCCATCCTTTGTTTTAAATATTCAAAAGCATCTATCTGACACAGCACCTTAAGAGAGGCTATCTGGGGCACTCTTTAGTTTTTCTGTTTTATTCCTAATGGTGAAACTCCAGCCAAGATTTTCTGGTTGTGGAACCTCTTCTGATTCTGCCGGTTTCACTGACTGGAAATGATTGCTAATAGGAATGAAAATGTTCATCTTATCTGCCCCTCTGTTATTTGCAGAGGAGGGTGTGGTGTTATCAGTTTGCAGTGGGGTTTAGAGCTGGTGTCAGCCTTGCAGAAAGTTTGGTGGGTTTTCATTTCCCTGCCTTTGCTGTCTGCTGCTTTGAGGGAAATGGGTAACCGGATCTTAGAGTCCCTGGATGTGAAGAGATAACATTGACCATAGGCAATTTTTACTGATAAAAATAATATATAGTTTTCAAGTAGTCCCATAATGAGTCACTTCTAAATAGTCAGAAATACATTTCCTGCTATTATTCTTTGAGACTGAATTGATAATTTTATAAAATTACTCCCCTTGCTAAGGTAGTCCTATTGAATGAATGCCGAATTTGCAACACGGTCTTAAATCTGCAGTAACCTGGTCTTTTGGGACCCACCAGATATGAATCAAAGTCCAGAGCATATTCTCTCATAAAAATTGTATTCTACTTGCTTCTTGCTGTTCATGTTACCAAGAAAAAGAAATGTATTCTACATCTAGCTCCCATTCCTGAAAATAACAAAGAATAGCATCAGAGCAAGAGTCAGACAAAATCTACTGACAAGAGTCCAGAATGCCAGGGCACTGGCTCTTCAGCCATCCTCCTCTTTGGCAAAAGGCAAACATCACAAATCACTGATGCATGGAGCCAAAGCCTCATCTAAGCACCGAGTGAGGCTGTGGGCTCTTGAAGCAAAAGTCAAGAGACCTGGATGCTATGTCCTGCTGCTCTGCCCCTCCACAGCTTGGTTACTTTGGGCAAGTCTTTTAATCGATGTCAGCCTCAGCTTCCTTATCTGGAAAATGGGGTTAATGACTGCCCCACTTTCCTTGCAGGATGGCTGTGACAGTCAAGCCAGATTGTTCCTAGGCAAGTACCTTCTAAATTTACACAAAGAGGTGAGTGCCGTGTGATTGGCAGGGAGTATCTGCTGCTGGTTCTGGGGCTAAACAAAGTAGTTCTGTCTTCTATTGTGCTCCCAGCCTTCCCTCCCAACCTGGATTACCTTTTAAAGATAGAAGAATTGGCTTCTTCTATCTTTAGAATACTAAAGATATTACAGGCTCATGCCTGTAATCCCAGCACTTTGGGAGGCTGAGGTGGGCAGATCACGAGGTCCACAGATCGAGACCATCCTGGCCAACATAGTGAAACCCCATCTCTACTAAAAATGCAAAAATTAGCTGGGCGTGGTGGCACACACCTGTAGTCTCAGCTATTCGGGAGGCTGAGGCAGGAGAATCTCTTGAACCCGGGAAGCAGAGGTTGCAGTTAGTCGAGATCACGCCACTGCACTCCAGGCTGGTAATAGAACAAGATTCTGTCTCCAAAAACAGACAGAATAATTATAGTGGGGGCAGGGGTCGAAGTGGAAGAAGGAAAGCAACAGATATTTCAGAGGGATCAGAACCCTGTCCATTTCACATGTGATTCTTTAGATCTGTCTCCTGCGTGTCCTCACTGAGTCCCCAAACAAATTCCCCAATCCCATCTTGTCACCCATCTCAGTAACAGAATTAGTTAATCCTAGTTAACCTAGATAACTTATCTTTCCCCCACTCCTAAGGAACAGAGGCCATCATTGTGTCTCCACAGGCTCTCTTAAGGGAGATTACCCTTCATCTTCTCCAAAAGGTGGAGAAGGAGACAGTCCTGATAGAAAAGGGAGCCTTCAAAGGATTCTAGTGCCTCCCCCAGGACAGGAAGGGAAGGGAGCTGTGATCCTAGGTGTGAAGGCTCTCTTTCTCTGGCAATCCTCGGGAGGCAGCAGGGCCTTAGGGAGAAATTGTAGCAATGACAAAGCTCTGCCAAGGAATGGTGGACTTCCAGGAGCATGAGGACTTAGCAAATGAACACATCAGTAGCCACCCCTGTGAACCGAAGACCAGAGGACTCTATCCAAATGATCTGGGTGAATGTCCACAGGAACTGAGAGGAAGGGTCATTACAGGAAGGTCTGCGACTGAATTTCCTACCACCCTGGCAGGATGGCTACAGTAGCAGATCAAATTTAGCTGAAAGTAATACAAGAAACGTGAAATTTCTTATGCCCTATTGTTAGTGTAGAATTCACATGCCTGCTATCTTTCTGCGACATTCTGGCAGATAACCCTGCTTGCTTTGGATACTCCAGAGTTTGGGAGAAACAGTTTGAAAGATCAACACAAGCTCTTTCTGAAATTACCTTCTGCTCCCTCCCCCAGTGAGAATTTACCCAGGGAAATAACAGCCCAGCAGATATTTCCCCCATAGCCTGAAACCCGAGCCATAGATGTCCTACCCTCAGCTTATCCACAAACACTTCTCAGCAAACCTGGAGGAGAAAATAATGTCTTATCTTTCTTATGTTCAAAAAGGAACACACAATAAACACATCAAGAAATAAATACAAAACTTTATGACTAGCAAACATTGTCCACAGTTACCAGGCAAGAACTAAGGTTGAACTGCTCTCCCAACCAATGCTCACAATTTTGGAAATAGAAATGTTATTGTCCTTATTTTACCCTGAGACAATTAAGGCTCAGAGGTGTTAACTAACTTGCTAAAGATATCGAGCTATTAAGTGGCAGAGCTAGGATTAGAATCCAAATCAGCATTCTATTCTACTGCACAACATAATCCCAGTTATCTGGTATTCTCTAGCAACATGCTTCTGTTTTTTAGTTAGTAACGTGTGTGTGTGTGTGTGTGTGTGTGTGGTGTGTGTGTGTGTGAGAGAGAGAGACTGAATGTAGAATAGAAAACACAGATTTTAAAATGTAACCATTGCCATATTTGTTGAACTCTGGAAGGAGAAACTGTGAGTTCCAGTAGGCGTCTGTTGAGTTTCAGCTGAAATGTGCCCACCGGCTGATTTAATGTGATAATCAGGGGTGGGGGCCCTGGTGACAGGCTATGATGTATTGGCTGTTGTTCTGCACTTTGATGTCCCTTGGAATTTGTCAAAACTTCACTTCAGCACTCCAAAAAGTGCCATGATGTCATCTGTCCCACTCTCTGTCTGCAGGAGCAAATGGCAGGGGAGTGGCTGTCCCTGGAGTTCAGGTCAACAGCAGGTCGGAGAGTGGCAGACCTTTCCTGAGGACAGCCGGCGGCAGCCGCTCCCCAGGCTTACCACCTCACAGCCAGGGGATTCCTGTCTCTGGGGGATAAAAGTCTTTGCTGTCTCTGAATGAAGGGGGACTGCGGATCCCTCCTGTCCCAGCTCAGTCACGGGCTTGTGGAAAAAGGAATCCTCTTCCACACCCTTAGTCATAGGGACTGAGCTGCAGGCGAGGAAGGTGGGCAGGGCTGGTGGAATGAGGGGGACATGCTGGCTGAGCGCGTGGCCTCCAGGACACTCCCCGCCAGCAGCCCGGGTCAGGAGCCAGCCTCCGCCATCCCCTGAGGCAGCTGTGGTCACACTGAGGTAGCAGCAGGCAGAAGGACGTGCTGATGCACAGCTTCAGGGGCCAGATGAGTCACCCCCAGGGTTTGGCCAGCTGGAGAGCGGGGCCTGGTTCCTGAGGCTGGTCTGGACAACATAAAGATCTGGGAACACTGCTGGCTCCCAGCACTGGGGATCTGTAGTGGCTTCTGGGAGCCGCTGGTCTCTGAAGAGTCACCCTGTCACAGAGGTGAAGAATGGCAATGTTTGGGGAAATGGGGTTAAGTGGGAGAGTGGTTTGCCTAGAAAACCCCATCATGCTTTTGGGTTGCCTCACGTTGGCCTCTTGATAGGACTGGACCTATCAAGTAGGATCCCAGTGGGTCCCTGGTACTGTGCCATTGGAATCATTGTCCCAATCTTCCCAGCACAACATGACACCACCTCTATTGAGAAGTCAACCCCCAATCCAAGAAAAGCCATATGCCTTAGCTCATTCAGGCTGCTATAACAACATACCATAAGCTGGGTGACTTATAAACAACAGAAACTTATTTCTCACAGTTCTGGAAGCTGGGAAGTTCAAGGCCAAAGCACTGGCCAATTCCATGCCTGGTAAGGGCCTCTTTTCTGATTCATAGAAGGCACCTGTCTGCTTTGTCCTCCCATAGTAGAAGGGACAAGATCGCTCCCTTTATAAAGCTCAGTCATGAAGCCTTCTTCCTCATGACCTAATCACCTTCCAAAGACTGCACCTGCTAATACCATCAGTTCTGGGGTTAGGGTTTCAACATATGCATTTTATACGGACATAAACATTCAGTCTATTGCATGGCATAACTCTTCATTTTATTTTTCTCTCTCCAAACCTTAGTTTCCAGATCCATAACATGAGATTTGTAATGTCCTACCTTAGAGAGTTGTTTTAAGAACTAAGTGATCATGTACATTAAAATGTTTAAGCACAGTGCCTGGTGTATAGTAAGTACTCAGTACATATTCATTGGTTTCCTTCTTTCTTGCTCTCTCTTTTCCCTCCAAATCCCCAAATAAAAATAAACACCATTTTGCAATAACTAAAACTTAGGAAAGATGATGT